TAATTGGAACCAGGGGAATCCAATCAGTGACGCTAAATTAGAAGTGTAGGTTAGGGATACTTTGACTTCTAGATTTTGCTAATAACCCATGCATATAAAATGATTCTGTGTAAGCAAGGATCACTGTTTTTAAATAAAGCTAAAAACAAAATGAGAGTCTGAGACTAACTGTATTTATTTGTGGGACCAGCTACTAAAAGTGTTGAAATGCTATGTTTGTTTGCACATAGCTTATTCCCATTGTGTTTGTTTATGCTTATTTGTGACCTGTCAGTGGAAGCAACCAGTCACACTGGTTTAACACTATTTAATCAAAAATTGTTAATTCTTCATGTTTTTTTTTAAATAGTGCCAAATCTACATGTGAGAGTGTTCATTTATTGTGTTCTACACTTACTATTTCGTGTTTGGCTACAGTTACTACTGTATTTATGTGTTATTTACTGCAAACTACTTCAGCAAAGAGATGTGATAGCTTCACCCTCTAGCTTTTTGGCACAGTAAACTTGTTCTGACAGCTCCCACTAATTGCACGGTGACCAGAGTAGTCGGTCCAATTTCTCGATGTAACCATAGACCACAGTGTAATGCAGTGCACCTGTGACTGGCAGTTGACATGACCCACATACAGCAGATCTTTGCTGCGTATACTTAAACCTACAGATGAACTGACATTTCTGACCTAATAACTGAGCACAGTGGTCAGCATCATTCTGACTCTGCTTGCTCAAGTGGTCAGCAATATTCAGGAGCTATGTTTAGGAGAAGTGCTGAAAGTGACTAACTTTTGCTGAAATGCTGAAGCTACACGTTTAACAGGCAGGTAAAGCACAGAAAATAATTAGTGACCCAGGGTAGTTTGTTGGATGCTCACAGCTATTTTATCCAATGCACCTTGTTTCTTTTGCCTCCCCCCAGCTCTACTTTAAAAGCTTCCTCCACAGATTGGATATGATTATTAACTTTTAAGCAAAGGCGAGGACTTTTTTTCAGTATCTACTAGAATAATAACAATGAAGAAATTAATTGGTGGGTGGGCGAGCAGAATAGAAATCATGTGGAAATTGCATGCAGGAGCCAGTGATATTATATCTGAGTAAGAGCCCCAATTCCTGTATTAATAATGCAAAAGGACCCCTAGGGCAACCATCTATTTGCAGAGCACCCCCACACACACAAGTAGTCTCATACATACACACTCACACATAGATACAAATACATAAGTTGTGACTTTGGATTCATGTTATCATGTCATTTCTCTTTAGGCAGTGTTTTCAGGCAAGGTTTTGTGAGTCTTTTGTTACTTTGTTTGCTAATACATGCATTAAACCCTTTTGATTTTCAAGCAGAAAGATTGTTGAATTACTGATTTTCCATTGTTTATGAAAGCACAGTAAGTAATTCCACCTTTGGCAATAATGCATCTGTTTTAATCAGTTTTTAATAAGCCTGGAGCCAGTGTCATGCTTTTATATTCTTTTTGTTGCATTAGTTTGATTTAAAACCTAAAGTTGGGAATGTAAATGCGTCAAAGTGCCCTTGTCAGTGGCCTTTCTGCAAAGTTTTGCCCTTGTAAAAATTAGTAGACTTAAGTGAATGCTGGACCTCTTGGTATTCCAAACACCTTGATTGCACAGACTTGTCTGGTTTTAATCATGCTGCTGTCTGCTATCTACTGATAGATTCATACTCTTGTCCATGGACATTACTTCCAAACTATATAAGACTTTGTCCATGCTTACAAAAGGCAGATATGATCTTTCTCTACTTGTACTATAAAGCAGTGTAAATTGTATGTAAATTATGTCATTGCCCATAAAGGTAATAGTGGGGGAAAAACAAACTGTTGTTCTTCTGCTCTTTCTCTAAAAGTAGCAAAAGCAAAAGAACAAACAAAGAATATTTATTTACTTTACTTTAAGCTAAAACTTTTTGCTTTGCATTTTCCATTTAAAGCTTCTTTTTTTTTTTTAAGTACCGCCGTATATCATTGCCCATTTTTGCATTTCTAGTGTGTATTGCTCTAAATGTGGGTCAGTGAGGTTGATTCACTGAAATCTATAGTGCATGCCCTGCTCTATTTTATGCTGTCTTTGCATTTAGCATGCATACCTGAAATAATCACCTGGGTAGGAGTCACTGCGAACCAAAACAGTGACAATGGATTCCCACACAGCTTACTGTCAGTTCAAAACAATCGCGTTAAAGATCATTGTAATTTGTGCTGCAGCCTCCAAAGCTTCTCTGAGTTGTTTAAATATATATACCATCGTGAAACCTATGTTCTCGTTACTTAAAATTTTAATTTTAGTTGAAAATATAATTTTAGTGAACATTACAGTAATAACCATCCACCATCTTTCCACTTGTCCGGTATTATAAATATACGTCTCGCTCTACAAATGTTTATGCACATTTTTTTTTGGAAAAGTTGGAAAAATTTGCATCTTATGCCCACTTTGATCTGTGCTAATGAAAGTCGTAATGTATCCCACACTGTAGCCTTTGGGTCATCCTTACATTCAGCTGATTTTTCTTTAACTCCTGCTGTATGCACATTAGCTGCTTTGATGGTTGGAGATCTCTTATGCTTTGACTTTATGGCCACAAAGTTTCCAAACTCCCCGAGGGTGGGTCTTTTACATTTTTCTCATCTAAGTTTGCATTCTCTATGTTTACTGCCCTCCTCTGAATCAAGGTTGTTTGCTTGATTCAGATGAAAAAAAAGAGACAAATTGATGACAGATCTGCCCTGGGGTTGTTATTGTTAAACTATATTCCGTGATCTAGTGGCAGGGTTCAACCAAGTTAATGATTCTTCTCTCTGTGAGTGTATATCAGAAAACAATGCTTCAGCAGCTGCTAGCATTGTTTTGACAACAGGATGACATTCCTGTTTCTGAAATTGATCTGTCTCTCTAGGACAGAGACCTTGGAGAAATCGATGGCAAACTCTTTTAAAGCTCCAAAAGGAAATACAACCATATGTCTGGTTATCTATATAGTAATAGCTTATGTGCATAGTGTTTAACAAGAAAGCTATTGTTGTATTATGTTTAATCTACAGGTACCTTTCAAGGTGCTTAAGGACGCTTTAAAAGATGCAGTAAAAGTTCTTCTCGATGGCTATTGTGCAATTTTCATTTGATAAATGACATTCTCAAAACTACTTGTTCAGTCTCCATGTTATCTGGTGACATCTGCATGTCATTGATATTGTCATGCAGACGATGTTGGAGCCACTTGTCATGATGGATCAAGCAGGTTTTCTTGTTTTTATTTTTCATTCTTTGATCTTATTGAAAACGAGTGAGAACTGATAGACATATGCAAGGTCATGTCTTTTTCACTTTTATTCCCAACTCACCTTTTATGTTTCTTTTTCTTTCTTTGTTTGCTTACTATTTTTGTGACTGTATCTTTGATACCATTCCCATAACCATGACGTTACAATACAGGAAAGACTGCACATGCAACAGTGTGTGGCGAATAACAATGCAATCAACGGTCTTTTCTCTATATTTCTCTCTATATAAGTCTATATAAGAATCCTTTTTTTTTATTATTATTATTATTATTGGTCCTTTATTTATCCAGGTAAATAACTCTCGTTGAGATTAAAAATCTCATTTCCAAGAGAGACCTGGCAGATATTTGGTAGATATCTTGAACTGAGGCATTGTATATGAGTCAAAAAAGTGGAGCCTTTTGCATTTTGTCTGCCAAACCTTGCAAGAGTATGCAAGAGTATACATAGGCAGAGTACACCATTATACTGACAACATGCCAGTCTAGTGACCAGTATTTTGACCATCTTGTTTGCAAAGAATGACTCAAGCCAATGACAGTTTCAGAGAGTTGAATATTTACTTTTGCAGGTAATTAATTTTGTGGCTTAATAAAATTGCACTTACTGTACTGCACACCTTAATGATGGTCCAAGACGTATTAAAGCAACCTAGATAAACTGTAAAAAAAATGGAGTAAAGATATAACAAAGTAGAAAGAAATTGCTCTTTGTTTCCTGTGGCTGTTTCATTCGTAAAAGAAGAGTTAACTAGCAGCTGCGATACATATTTCATAACACGAAGATGAAGGCTGAAGGCTGAAGGATAGCTTTTAAAACTAGCTCAGAATACCAATGGAGTGACCTTACAATTTCTTTTGATGAAATGAAATTTGTGTTTGACAGAACACTTAGGAGGGATGCCCGCTTACTTGCTTTTACTATCTGTAACATGGTCTTGGCAAACTTTATCAATAGCACAAAAAAAGAATTTTAGGGATTAATTTTGAAGAATGAAAAAAGTCTAAGTGCTCCAAATTGCAATAAACACATCATCCTCCCCTATACGTGCATTGCCATGTGTTCACATTCAGAGCTGATGTAGACATGACTTGAATTTGTCACAGAGTGAATGTAATGTTATCAACATGTGTCAATTGTGTCAGCTAGATCCAGCAGGATCCACTTATTATCTTGTCCAGTGTCACAAGTGCACGTCTGTGTGTTCTTCAGAGATAATTCAGGCCTAACAAAAATGGTAAAACTGAGACGAGCACAGAATATAAAGTAGCTGACCAAATAACACATTATGTGTTGTACTTCATGTGAATTGCATTTACACTTTCATTCAGCATGATGAAAGATCTGGTATCCTCTGGAGGGGGCTGATGTATTAGGATCGCAGTATGTTGTGGGTTCATTTACCTCTGCATTTAATGTGAGCAAGACCAGGCTTTAAGGTTTTAATCTGATCAACCCAGAGTCATAGGGCCTTGGGTTATACCACTTTCTGCTTCCAATATACATTTGTTATTTGATGTATACTTCAGCTGGGATTTCATTCTAGCGCCAGTGTGTTTTGGTTTAGTTTGCACAAGGTTATTTCCCTATCTGATAGCTGTTAGATCAAGATGAGATACTAAGTGTAGCGAGTGTCAACTGGATTATTTGAGCCTTTAGGCTGATTTCAGTTATCTTATCTTGCCTTTTTCAGGAGAAGATGTGCCCGATGCCTACTGTGTGGAAGGCCCTCCACTTGCAGAAGAAGCCTGCGAGGTGCCCTGTTCTGCAGACTGTGTGGTTGGCCCCTGGTCCTCCTGGTCCACCTGCTCACACAGCTGTGCCAGTAAGACGGCAGAGGGTAGACAGAGCCGCACTCGCACTGTTTTAGCCATCCCACAAAAAGGTAATCCAAAATTCCCTTTGATCTCTTTGACTCTTTCTCATCTAATACTAATAAAGAACTTCTTTGCTTTGTTTACTGGAGTTATTTTTAACTTGGTTTTACTTTTAATGAAGCTAGATTTTTAAAGTTGATATTAATATATGGCAAATAGGTAGAAAAGGTTTAGATTATAACTGTCGTTAACATGTCATCTCATCTGAAATACTGCAGAAAAAAGGGCAGAAGTAACAAGAAGATGTATTATATTGTATTATTACTGTAGTTGTTGATAATAATGTATACCTTTCGGTATCTATGAGGTTCAGTACTACACTGACTGGATGACAGAAAGCGTGAAAACACTGATCTTTGGAGATTTTAAGAAGTAGCTTGTAAATACAGATATAAAAGAAAAAATCCAGTAACATTTTCATTAGCAGGGAGCTCAGTGTCTTTGGGATATAGTGCTATTGTTAGAGGGACTCAAACTGAGGAATGCCACGGCTAACACAAAACTAGACTCGGCAAATAAGAAGAAATTGATTGAGCTCGAACCTTTATCTGGGTTTTTTTTGTGTGCGAGTCTCATTTAGTCGTTTTTCATTTCACAAACATTTGAAGTTTGAGTTGATCATTCATTATCAGAGACTCTTTTCTTCCCAACTGTGCTTTTCTTACTTTGTGTTGTGTTTTCAAGTCAGTCAGCAAAGCCTTGGCAGCCAGCTAGCAGCCATTAATCCCTGTAACTAAACGCATATCTGCAACAACAGCTGATGAAAGAATCTCACAGATTAAGCCAGGTTCCAAACTATGTTGCTTATTACAATGTTACTGGCTATCAGTTTGCTGACAGAGCTGATGTGTGTGTGGGTATGTATACATGGGTATTAATGCTGCATTTGTGTTTATAAGGATACATTTTTGTAACAGCGTCTGACAGAATACTGTAGAAGCCCTCAGAAATACAAATTGGACTGGAAGGTGTAAGTATATACAATATTTGGTTGTGGTTCAGCTCATCCTTACTTTTCTATAAGTCACAGCACACTACTGTTCCCTCTCCAGATATCACATTTATCATACTTCATCAACTGAGCTGTCCATTTTTTACCTCCATTTCGACCAGAGAGTCCCTGCCCTGACTACTGTAGGCCCAAAACAAAAGTAAATTACCACTGTGAACACCACTGTAAACAATCCTTTAGCCAGAAAGCAATGATACATACATAGAACTCAGGTATTTTACATAAACTGTAAATGAAGAAATGATTACTTTGGAGGTTTTATATGTATATATACACATACACTAACCAGGACACAGAGCATAAACATTGTTGTGCTTTGGCAGTCAATGAATTACCAAAGGAAGACTTTCACAGTGGCCTTGCTGTGACTGAGTTTGTAATTTGAACTTCTAGAAGTTGAAACTTGAAAAGTGCTTGCTCAGCTAACCCAAAAAACAAATATTTGCTACAGTATGTTAATAAACAGCTCATGGTAGAGTGATAATATTGGCACTTTTTTTACTTCCATTGATCAAATACATCTTGTACTTTAAGAGAATCCATTAGATTTGTTTTGGTCAAATCACATGTACTCTGCACAATAATGAAACTGTGTTGGAGTGATTTAGTGCAGCTTTTTCTGAATGCCATGTTGTACATTCTGTGTATTTCACAGTTTTCTACTCTTATGTGTTGATATGCAGATGGAAAAGCTTGTCCAGCGGGTCCAGCTCTGGAGCAATGGAGAGTCTGCAATGACCATCCTTGTGTGATATTTCACTGGGAAGCTTCAGCATGGGGTCCATGTATTGAGGATACCTCTATGGCTCTCAATGGAACCAGCCTCCAGAATGGGACCATAACCTGTGCTGTCGGGGTTCAGATCCGCAAAGTCATCTGTGTGAAGATGAATGCTGGTCCAGTCGTAAATAAAAGGTGGAGTCTATGCAAATTATTTGATATATGGACTTTTTTGAATTTTATGTACTCTGATTCAGTATTTTTCTTTGAAATGTCACTTTTTTATATAGAATTATATATCCAGTCATTTGAAAAAGTAAGTACGGTGATGTGAAAATGCAAAAAATAAAAATAAAAAAAGGAAATCAGGAAGGGGGCAAACACTTTTTCACGCCATTGCACATCAAATAGACATTTTTGACCCTTTTTTTTTTTAATTTTGTTTAATTTTAATTAGCAAACACTTAACTCACTTATACATAGTGTCTATATTCTCCATAAACAGATGTCTTTATATAGATTTTCATAGGACAGCTACAAAATTTGGTTTCTCTTGTAGTCTGAGTTCCATTGGCCCGTCACATTTGAGCACTTGAGTTATATGTAGTTCTTAGTGTAGAGCAAAAGAGTTACTGTATTTCTTAATATGCAATCTTAAAACTAGCAGAAATTGCCTGTTTATTATGTCTGCATTTATGAATATTGAAAACAGGAAGTCCACTCTTTAATGGAAAAAAATATGAAAAAATATATATAATAATTTTTAGATTATTATATATTTATATTATATTTTATATATTTTTTTTCTATATTATATAATGTCAATGCCGTTTGTTGTCTTGCTTCCATGTTGTATCAAATCCTAACACAGCATTTCAATCGGATTTAAATCTGTGGACTTTGACTGGGCTTTTTTATCCTTTGTGTATTTGTTATTATGCTTAGGATCATAATCCTTTTGAAAGATGTACTTCTAAGTTCAGCTTAAGCTTGTAGTGCGGTGACCTCAGATTATCCTTAAGCACTCGTATAAGGTGCAGAATGCATAGTTGAATCAATGGCCGCAAAATACACAGTCTCTGGCCGTGAAGCCAACTTAAAATGTAACATTTCTATCCCTATGTTTCACATTGGGTATAAGGTTCTCCTCCTGAGAAGCTGTTTTTTGGTCTTTGCCAAATAATAGGGTACTGATGAGTAATTAACTGTGTCATCAACATATTGATGGATATTCACGAGATTTGTTATGAGTCATAATTTGACCTCCGTGCATTTGCTCTTGAACAAATGAGGTGAATATGTGGTCTCAGCCCCCCACCTGATGTTTATGGTAATTAAAATTAAAACTTGAAGGGCACTCATTAAGGCCACTACCCATGCTACCCCTCTCCACTAAGTTACATGAGATATTTTTCAACTTATACAACGTATATTCTTCAGTTCTGGGAGATGACTTATTTTGTCAGTATGAAAATTGCACTTCTGTATCAGAGTATCTTTTTACTGTGCTGCTCTGCTTATTTTTAGAAGCTGAAAATAGGCCCTGAGAGAAATGAATGCTAAATTATAGGTGAGGAGAAAGGGAGCTTTGTAAAATCAAGGGGAAGATAGGATGTTTCTCTTACAAAAAAAAATCACTTAAGAACACAGTCTCCATTTTCCAAAACCGCCTTACTTGTAGATATCTAGCGTATGCTTTTAGTTACTAACAGATGACCCAGAGGACTTGCTTCACTGTGAAATAATATCCCAGAGTTTTGTGTATTGAGGTCTGGTTTTATCCTTTTTCCTTCTGTGTGTTTAGTGTTTCTTTTCATTTGTTTTTGTGAACCAGAGATTCATTTTGCTTCTGCTCCACCATTATCTACTCCTCTTTCAGCAATACAATATCAAACTCTGCTAAGGGCTTTTGTGCTGTCACTATAATGATGTTATAGTGATCTTCACAGCAGGAAGACAGATTTATAAATAATTCACAAAGATTGCTCTTCTTTAGCTTGATGTGCTATTGACAGGGCTGTAAAATAGATTATGTAGAGGCTTTTTTTTTTTCTAATGCTTGTCCTATCTGCCGCCACAGTGAGAGTCAGTTTTTTAGTGTATTTATGCACCAAAGTCGGGTCTTTCTACCATCTTTCCAAATTATGCTGTGACTGTCTGACTCTATCGAAAAACGCAGATTTGACATAAATTATATTTATACCCAAGACACATTCTATACGTTCTAACAGATTATGTTCTGGATTAAAAAAGCAAGAAAAACTGAGTAGGTAGGCGAGCTGCAATTCTGCGTTAACCCCTGTTTATCTCAAACTCTGATTTCTGAATTGTTAAGCTTTGAGTTGGAAAATGTTTCAGAATACAGCTGTTGCTGCTCTGTTTGAAGGGTCACTTCAGTCAGCAAACATCTTAGCATTTCATGCTGAGCAGTAATCTCAGCAGTGAGCAGTGGCTCAACAAAAAGATGAGTTGTTTTTTTTTTGTTGGTATCAATACAGAGCCCCCAGAAAAACAGATTGATTTTCAGTGTGTAAATAATAAAACTGACAGTGATGAAACTTCATACAGTACACACACATACTATTAATATTATTAATAATGATGAATAATGAATAATGATGCTGAACACTGTGGCCTTGACAGTGAATCTAACTCCCTCATTTTGGGAAAACCACACAATATACCCCAGCTGCTCTGTTGCGTTGTCATGCCCTCTGGCATACATCACTGCAAAGGGAGAGAGAGAGAGAAGAGTAGGGATAAAGCTGGGGAATGATGGGTTTTATGTATCTTTCCTCCTTATGCTTTGGCATACTTTGATCTCATTGCTGTGCGTGCTGGATTTTTGCAGTCAGTAGGATGTGGCGCCATGCTGGGTCTCTAGTGAGACCTGGATCTGGTTGTTGGGCAAAGGAAGTCACTGGCTCTGAAACAAAATGTGAAATTTCATGTGTGTTTGTGCATTGAGGACAGGAGTTGGCTGCTGGTTGATGAAGACATCAAAGCTTATGAATTACTTGATTTTACATAGCTGCATTAATCCGCACCAATTCAAGGTTGCACGACACACAAAACACAACACAGCCAGAGGGCTGTTACAGATATGTTACACAAGAGATGTGCCAGCATGAATTAAGACAAGGAAATTGTTAAAAGTCGGTCAGATGCTCATTAAAACCTGGTAATGATGTGTTTGGTGTAGCAGGAATGATCTATTGGTAAACAGTTTGCATATCCTTGTTTCTCAGGTTAATTAGCAGCCGTGTTTGATTGATTTTTTCCCCTGGAGCACTCTTTCGCTTGTCTTGTTGGTAACAAAAAATGGCCCTGGCTGCTCTGTATATGTAAAATAAATCCACTCACTGGGACATTTAAATTGATCATAAATTTGTTTCCACTATTTATAGATACATTGCCATTGCTGATATTTTGTTGAGATTTTTAGTTCAAAAAATATTTCCTACATACTGCCACTAGTTGATGCCACTGTGGGCTACAAATCTAGCATAAAGAAATATTGATTAGTCTAGTTTTAGTAAAACTGGGATTTAAAAGTGAAAATGCACTGTGAAGCATGCAGGCACTTTGTAGGCTTGAATTTTTAATTTTTTTTTAATGAGTAATATTTGTAGACTGGGAGGCAACTGAATGTGTGAGAACACTGTAAATTTCTATATTTGTGTAGCGTTTGCTTGAGCATGCAGGCAGAGGCACATGTAATCAATCATGTTTTCTGTGGGGAGATGTGTGATGTCAAGGACAGGGCAGTTGTTTTACTGCGCTATCCTCTTACTAGTGAGACCCAGGACGTTTATCATTCATCACCTGGAGGCTGAAGAGAATTTAAGACCACTGTTTGTTTGTTTGTATGTTTAGATGTTCAGATTCTTCCCGTCCTGAAACCGTCCGTCCTTGTTTGCTACCCTGCAAGAGAGACTGCATTGTGACGCCTTTCAGTGAATGGACAACTTGCCCATCAACCTGCCTTCCAGGTAGCTCACTGACAGGATTTTCTAGAAATTTATTTTACAATTGCCTCTCTAATAGCTTAACAGTCTTTTTAAAATTAATCAGTATCCAGAGTAAAATCTTTTAAAATTGGTAAATTATCAATATATTGGGATTGAATATATAAATACCTTGTTTCAGGAGCACAAATAACCTATTCAAATAAAAACACATTTCATACTTTCACAATAGATAGATTATAGATTCGATTATAAGTAATCAGTTGATTACTTATAATCTATCTAGAAACTGATTTTAATTTGACATCAGTGTATTCCCAAAAGGTTGATTCTGTTCATCTGGACGTAGCGTTTTCTGTGGGAGAAACGTTTCATCATTCATCAAAGTGACTTCTTCAGTCTCAGCTGACTGCAGGTTTCCCCAACCTTTTACACAATAACTGAACCTAGCCCACTGAATGAGCAATGGGCTGTGAGGTCAGCTCCTTGATCATTAATATGCAAATTGTCATGACCATTGATCAACAACTACTGATCAAAGACTATCGATCAATGACCATGAGTACCATTCACAGAGAGTTGGGGAATGGCTGCAATCACCGCATTGTAAAATGGCGAAAGATGTACCCTTAGGCCCCTCCTCGATTCAGAGATGGTCTTTCCCTTTTCACGTAAATAGCCTCCTTGAATCCCTGCTGAAACCAACATTCCTCCCGGTCCAGGATGTGTACATCCTCATCATTGAAATAGTGACCACTGGCCTGTAGATGTAAATAGACTGATGACATTGTTTGGTTTGGTTTGGTCTGAAAACGCTACGTCCAGATGAACAGAATCATTCTTTTGGTATTTACTTACCTGGATGATTGAGCATGCATCAAGACACATCAGTAGATTGTATAAGGTAAACTTCAAGAAGGTATACATCACTGTATATGTTATTCCTTTAAGCCTGACCTATAAAATAATTGCCAGAAAATTCAAAATTAAATATACATTTTCATACATAGGTTTTACTTTGTGTCATAGTTGCTACATACAGATTTTTTATTTATTTTTTCATTTTTCCAATGAATAGCTTGAAAATGTAATGTACGATATATTCCGATTTTTCATTGAAAAAATTGATGGCGTAAAAATCTCAAGAACTCAAATATGATGCACTTGGCTTCACATGCTTACAATGATGGCAAGAGGCTTCTTAGAAAAATGGACAGTGCAATACACGCAAAGTGTTGTCAAGAATTACATTTAATTGTAAACAACAGTTTTAACTGTCCATTACATTAACCTAGCACATAGAGAGAAAAGAATGGATATTTAATGGGTTTCAATATGTGTACTGTAATGTCTCGGAAATCAAAAAGTATGTAATTGTTTTTAGAAGAATTGAGCAGGCATCTCATCTGTGTAAATATGCTGTAGTCCATTGGGTCTGTTGATGATGTAATCTCTTTCTTAATTGCACCATTTTCAATGTTTAGTAATTAGTGCTGTGTAATGAGCCTTGGAGCCTGAGCCAAATGAAGCCATTACAGTGTGGTGTGTCCGAAAACAGACTGCAGTGAAGTGGAGGACATCGCTGCTACAAGGGCATGCTAATCAGCATCGGAACAATTTCGAGACCACTTGATTTTTTTCCCCTCTTTGAGATATTAGAGCACAGTGGCGATATTGATGCATCATTTATTTTGCATCCAAGACATTTGTCAGGCACTTGTCTCGGTATCATTTTACGTCCTATTCCTCCTTGGAAATGTTCACTTAAATTCAGCTGTGCAAATAATCTGTCATTGAACGCAGCCTTTTTGTGAAGATTATCTTTCATGTTTAACAGAAAATGCAACCGCCGCCACACAGTCTCGATACAGGACCATCATTCAGAGGGCTGCTAATGGAGGTCAAGAGTGTCCCGACACACTTTACGAAGAGAGAGAGTGTGAATCACTTCGTGTATGTCCAGTGTATAGGTAAAAGCACTATTTATAATGAACTGCTTTCTGTTTTTAATCCAAGGACAAGTTAACTCAGCTTATCTGCCATATAAGAGCACACGGTAAGAAGTGAGTGAGCTATTTTTGAAATCATGACTAGGGTGCATTATTAGAGTTAAATGATGAAGTTTAAATGGCACAAGATGGAAGAATAAACAGGTAAGTAAATACAAATAATACAAATTCTGGTTTATATTCAGATGTTACGATACATGGTTAAAAACACATATAAATATAAAATTGCAATTTTGAATGATAATATGATACTAACACAGGTTGATAAAAAAAATTTCAGCTGCATGGGATAGTTTTGGTAAATTTTATGTTTTTTACGGTGCAGAATGCAAAAATGATCTCCATTTCCCTTCATCATGTACAGTTATTTGCAAAATATGTGGAGTTTAAATTTAAAAAAGCAATGAAATGCATAATTTTTTTGAGATTCTTTACCTTTCGCTATGAACAAAATAAACCTGTTGGGACACGATCATCTGAGCTCCTTACACCGCCAAACTACCATTTCGGTTGCAGACCTGTGTAATTACCTGGGAATGAGCTTCAGCTATGTAACATAGCCACAAGCTTTAACATCAGAAACTTGATATTTGACATTCACTAAAGGAGTATGACTGGTAAAATATGTGTTCATCTTCATTTGCTCTGCTTGATATGCTATATTCCTTTAAAAATCTAACTATTCATCTGTGTTTTGAGTACAAGGCCAACCTGTTTTCGTCATAAATTCTCAAACTACTACCATGTCCCAAGCTTAGAAAAAATAATAATAAAAAATACTGTTTATAGAATCGCAGGACAAATACCTTAAAAAACAAATGACATTACAAATGTAAAACACCTTTAGAGAAACATTTACAGCTGCTGGCTTCATGGTCTTACTTTTAAGTAATAGTCTCATCTGGAGATACTTCCCAACAATGGCTGGATGTCTCAGCTCAGTGTGATACTTTCAGATTTGTTGCCAGTTTGGTTTCCTCCAAAATCTGCTCAGATTTAAACTCCTTCAAACACCTATATCTTCATGTCTTCAGCATACTGCTCCGTCTCAAACACCACTAGCAATAGATATGCTGGAAAGTTGTTGGCAGTTGGCCTGGTGAGGTACATGCACTTCACACTAACCATTCAAGTGCAAGAATGAGCGTTTAACCATAACACACAGTTAAGCGTTTAACTGAGTTTTTCTAGTATTTAATGTGAATTCATGTACCTAATTTTAGTATTCATACATGAGCCCACCCCCCCCAAAAAAAACAAAACAAAACAAAAACCAACACCAAGAATTCAAGCAGAAGTGTTTTCAATAAAATACCAATAGAGCAATGTGACCTTCACAAACTGGACAAATTCAATGCCATAATATTTTTATTTTCATTGTAAAATCAAGAATGGCACTCACTTCCATTTTTCCACATTCAGTGCTGCCTGTGGTCCAGTTCACGGCTACAAACTCGCACTTCTGAGAAGAATATAATGACACCTTTAGCGTTTCTGTACTTAAAACTGTAACAAGCCGCTGCCAGCCTAAAGTTCTTCTTCCTTCGCGTTTCGGTCTAGGTGGAGGACGCACAAATGGAGCAGCTGTTCTCTAGTTCCTGAATCTGTGAGACGTGGGCTGTCGGGACCAGGAGAAACGTGTGGAAAAGGTTTAGAAACAAGAGGCAAGTTGTAGCCCTAAATCAGTGCATTCTCTTCACTTTATATTTCCCAGCTGCTACCATTTCACCTATTTTCAGCGTTGCTCTTCCATCTATATACCATCTTTACTTAATGAGACCTAATAGTCCTTTCTGAACTGCTCCTCTAACAAGCAAATGGCAGAAACGTTAAGGAAGACAGCAATTTGTTCAGTGAATATCATTAGATGAACCTTTCTGTGCTTTCTTGACAATTTCATCATGTCACTAGTCTCTTATTAACGTACGTAGCAAGTCCAGCCATCACGGGCTACTTAGTATTTGCTTTAATAGAAATGAAAAGCCAGAGCTAGCACCATGCAGACCCTACATGCACTCATATGTTCTGACTCACAACTTCAAAGTAGACTCACAACTGAGTGCATTTTATGTTGGATAAATTTTTGAAGGTTTCATAGCTTTCTCTGCTTTTCTAAAGTCAGGCCGAAAAGAACCTATATTGATGCAGTGCATCAGGTTTTTTCTTCACCTTTTTGCTCACCTTTAAACTAAAAAAGATGGACATTAAAACGAGGAAACTATTGTGTAGTTTATTTTTCCTTGTCATTATGTGATCCTCTAGTTTACACTGATTTTGCTGAATGCATTCTTATTCTGTTTGCTGTTTTTCTTTTATTTGCAGCCAATCAAATCTTTTAGAACATTATATTTTGTAATATCTGCAAAATATCGCATGCAAGGCAGAAAATCTCAAAGTCACAGACTAATAATAATTTTTTTTAAAAGATGTCCTTCGTTGTTTCTATACTCGAGCTATGGCTCTATTGCCAATTACTTTGCTCCAGTTGTGCCACAATTTGACATTTATGTGCCCTCTCATTGACTTGGTTAAGCCTAAGCTGAGTGAACGTAGCCTCTGAAATCTTTGTTGTTTAAATCCTACATTTAATTTCAGTGTTTTTACCAATTGCAAATTTCACTCTCACACTACAGTTTTTGAAATGTCACAGGTATTTAACTTGGCTATCAACTAATCATATTCAAATAGGAAGCTCTAAAGGTCAATGAGGCTTGCTCTTAACCTAGGAACACTGCAAACACTTTTCCCATCTTCATCGAAAAGTCATAGAAAGTCACTTGAGAAATGTCAGTTGTAATTATACTGCTATGTAGAAATCAGCGATGCCGAGAGCAGAAATGCTATAAAGTTCTCAAGGCAGTAAAATAATGCTCTGAAAACTTCTCTTGAGCCATATAAGTACATTAGAACAGCCGGTTTCGGGAATGCATCAGGAAGCTGCTTGCCTTTAAATGAGTGCAAAATGATTCAATTAACACCTATGGCTTTTTAATAATTTGAGCCTGTAGCAGTCATTTCCACAGATCCTCTGAGAAGCATAAGGATGTTCATCAAGAATATGACACAGGAATCTACACAGTCCAAAAATCACACAACAAGCTAAGAAGTGAATTTTTCAGCCCTCGGGCTGTATTTAGTAAGATTTGTGGCAGGCGGTTTTCCTATGGAGAGCAGAATTACTTCTACAACATTATTAACATTATACAGACTCAGATTTTGGTTGCAATAAAATGAAGAATAGGGGAAATATTAGTTTTTAATTAAAGCCTTTTTGGGGTGTAAAAATATACACGTTTTTATTAACTTATTTATTAAGTAGAGGTTTAAAACCTTTGAAGATCCATTCAACTTGAATTGTTCATATACATTTTTTCAACATAATCCATGACTATAGCTAGAAGGTTGAGATGAATTGGTAAGGCATGACCCTAATACAGTATTCAACTTTGAATTATTTCCCCCAGACTCGCTATTAATTATAGTTGCTCACATCCTGTTGTAAGGGTGTGAGAGATGAGATGATAGCTACTTCAAATGCTTCTCTTCATTGAAAAATTGAATATGAAAAGTTGCAACATTAGTATGTCAGACCTTGATCCTCCTTCAGTGCAAAATCTAGGCTGGCTTTTAGCTGCTTGTCTTTGGCTTTCTTCAGCAGCTTGAAGTGAATCATGTTTCCGAATACACTGTATGGACAAAGGTATCAAAGTCATCTTTGAATTGAGCTGTTTTCAGATGCAGTGCCACACGTGCTTAAGATCAGCTGCCTAGCCACTCAGTCTGCTTTTACAAGGATTTGTAAAGGAATGGATTGAACTAAAGATCTCACTGAGCTCATTTGAACATGGAATTGTAATAGGATGGAACCACAAGTCAGTTTGTGAAATTCCTTCACTCCTAGATATTCCATGATCAACTGTAAGTGCTATGATCACAATGCGGAAGCATTTAGGAACCATAGCAACTCAATATGCTTCTCAGTACTGAGTGCTGAGATGCGTAGCACATATGTGCACTGCATGCTAAGATGAATTGTGCATATCAGGCTGCATTTTTGCATGATGGTAGTTAAGCAGATTACATATAAGAGTAACTGTCGTTTTTTAACCTGTTTACCAGGTTGGTCAACAACTATGAATGTAATCCTATCTTCTTGACAACATATGTACTGTTTAAATGATCAGCAAAAAATGTTGACATTGCATTGTGGTTCTACCAACTAGCAATGCACTATGAAATTTGTCCTCTGTTCTCTGGTCACGAACAGTCCATAGTGTTTTTTTCTAATCTGACACGTCAGCTTTCATATCTGTGATAGTGAGCAGCAGATCACAGCACAGTAAGGCATAGATTTTTTTTAAATCACCAGAATTCACCTCTGCTTCTATTGTGTTACCCATTAACATGTTTCCTTTTAACTTTATATCTGTACATCAATGAAATATATTTGCTTTAAGGTAGATGTAAGTGTATTAAACAGTCAATTATGCACTTAACCTTGGGTTTATCTCATATTTCTTTGACTTAATTTCTAACACTGAAAAGTAAAAACAGACACACAATCTACTGTATGTAGAAACCACTATTACTTTCCTTGAGATAGGCAGCATTTTAGTTGCAGTTGCCTCTACTGGGAGAAAGAAATGTTTTAATACAAATACCGTGCAGCCTCTGAAAACTGACTAGTGATGATAAATGTCACTATGAATAGTTTAAAGACGGTAGAAGAACAACTTAAAGAGCAACCAGGGCTTTTCTGCCTAGTCAAAACCAGTCAAAATGTTGTGAACCTCAGGCTCAGAGCTTTACTATGAGATTAAAATAATAGTCAGAATTTGCAACATATTGGCTCTGTAAACCTCAAATCCAATCACAAATATTTCCTTGCCTTGGGTAAATACTTCCATGTCCATGTGAATCTGGCCTCATGCCAGATTCAAGGCATGTTGCATGAATGCTAATGTCTAATAATGTGCAGAACGAGGAGAGGTTTGTGTTATACAACTAACCCGCTGAGGTGCTCGCAGATAAGAGGCATTACTAAATGAAAGATCTGACAAGATGAATTAGAACCTTTCCAAATAAAATAAAAACACTAAACAAAAGAGAACACTTGACTGCAGATTACCTGTGTGAATTTGTAGCTGATAACCACTATGATCTGTTTGTCAGTGCATATTGCACTACATACTGTGTCTAAATTCAGCCAAATTTTGTATCATAACCAGCTGGATATGTTATATTCCTCCCTGAGTAGAACTGGAACCGTTGTGAGTAATTATTCAGTAGAAAGTGAGTCATGCTGATGATCTTTTGCTCCAGGAAAGATGTGACTTAATGGCTATGATGAATCCAGTCCACATTACTCTTCACAATGCATTATACTGAAGAACATTATACAAGCAGTATGACTGAATTAAAATGAAGATGATGTTTGATGGTGGATGTGTGGGCTGGATATATAATGCATTAAAAACTTTGTATTAAGTAAAGATGTAAAACATAAAATCTTCTGGATTGGACTGAATAAAAGGGAAAGAAATTTGATGTTTTTAAAGAATCTCTTTTACCTTCAAGCTCTTTGGGATTTTAAAAAGGCAGAATATGACAAGCCTCTTGAAAGCATATTCTATAAATGGCACTCCAACATACCTTTCTAAGTATCTATATAATCAGAGATGATCCTTGTCATTTGCTGGGATGCCTTGACAAAAAGTAACCACTTGTAAGAGGTGATGATGAGATGATGCGGGTGTAGGCAACCAGAGCCTGAAAGAAACATGGATAGACTAGATGGCCCCCAGTCAAAACAAGATGACAACGAGATAGTATTCTTAATAAGAAGGTTCTGGGGATCACATAGTTGGGTTTTCAGTGAGACTAGCTAAAAGACAAGACATAAAAAAAAATGTATTTTTCAATATATTCTCACGTCTTAAGTGTTTGATGGCTTACAGAATTAACCTATAGACAAACATGCAGACTTTTGTATAGCTGTGCATTTGACCATTACATAAATGCACTTTGACAACAGCTACCATCCTCCTTGTGCTGCCTGTGCAGAATCCTTGTATGTAAATGACCATCCCACGCCTTTTCAGCAGACATGTAGAAACCAAACAGTTTTTGTCAGAGGGCAAAATTTAAAAGTCAAATACAAATCAATACAATGGATTAAAGGCATGTTTGTAGATCAGTGAATCCTCAAAGACTCGGAGGTCTTGCGGGAGGAGAAGTTCCCCTCACTGGCAACAATAATTTATTTAAATCCCAGAGTGACAGTGCAAAGTATTTGAACATTATAATGCCCTGTGCAGTTTGTTTGTTTATCTACGAGGATTCCTTTTTCAAGGCGTCAAAGTCCATTCAACCTTTCCTTCACAGTTAACAGAACCTGGCGAAGCTAAAAATGTTCCTCTGCCTTCCATCAGCCAGCAAACTCGAGCCAATATGTCCACAGGCATTGTTTTGTTTTTTTAACTTCATTTTCTTTGTGGGTTTTTTTTTTATTTATTTAAAACTCTACACATAGTACTATTTTTATGCAGCTACTTTGTGTGCAGTGTCTGAAAAATGTGTTTCATGAATCTGGGAGGGACAAATCATTCCTTTTATCAACCAGTAGATGTGTTGATTATTGTAATTCAGATGTTTTATTTACTTTGTTTTATTGTTTTGTTTTTAAATCTGGGTAGTGTTTCAATTATTATGCTATTTGATTTGCAAAAGCACTTATCACACAATCTATTTCTTTTACTTTATTTAAATGTCATGCATGCATTTCTAACAAATGGATGTGCTTTCTTCCATAATATGTTCCCTTTGTAGATTAGATAATTAGGTGTATAACTAACTGTCTATAAAATATCAATATTCCTGCAACATTTGTCTAAACATATTTATTGATACACCATTTAACTCAAACTTCATTACCATCATTGCTTGTGCTTAATGTGTGGTTTGCCATGCTAGGATATTAAGTTACACAAATGCTAATTATCAATGATTGAGGGTGCTAAAAGCCATCCTGTCAACTAAGCTCCAATTTTACTGTCTCAGACTCCAGTTTTATTTTGTCATAATTGTAATTACGATCTTTCCCTGTCTGTCAGCAAATCATAAACAGTTCTTCAAAGAAGTTTTTGAAAGCATCTTTAACCCATTTTATTTCAGCATAGTGTGATATTGTTAGGTTTCTGTTTATTTTTTCTTTGGGCATGCTAACGTGCTAACTTGGCCTTTACCCAAAGGAATGGAAACTATTATTTTTGGTAAGCCATTAACCTGCCTGCAGGTTAGGATTGGGCATTTTCAGTGAAAAGTACTTGATTTATTACTATGTGATCCTGATATGCTAAAGCATTGCTAATATTAAACCTGCTAAGCATCAAAATGTTAACGTTACTGTTAATTGAGCATGTTGAAACATGTTTGTTTAAAGTAAAATACAGTCTCACAGTACAGCTTTTAAAAACTCATTCTGATCTATCCCTTATATTGATTGTTCCTTTTGCTCTTGACCTTTGATGATGCCAGCTGTTGCATTTTCTGAAAAAGACACCTCTTACATCTTCCATTTATTTGCATTCATTTATTTATGTCTAAAGGAAAGTAACAGGCTAGACTGTGAAATGTTTCTTCTATTCAACTGAGCGCTAGACCCACTATCAGTAAAAGAAAAAAAAACACATCTGCTTTTGTTATGCAGCTAATGTAATAATTCATGGCACACCCTGGCACATATTGCTGAATTGTAATGTCTCTATCCCTGTTTGATCAGGCTCCAATAATTTCTTTTTAAAACATGTAGATCATTCTGTCAAAGCTATTAACCTTTTATGTTAAGCTTTTATTATGAATGTCCTGTTTTTATACAATAAATCATAGTTATCTAAAGAAGTCTGATAATGGTGTTGAGCTTGAAGGTTGAATTACCATTTCACTTGATGCTAACATGAAAGCTGCACCAGAATATTCTAACTATGGCTACACCGTGGAGGCATTTTCTTTCTTCAGTCCAAGCAACCTCACATAAAACTGTGAACCTTTTCTCAGGCATAGTAGGAATTTTCGAAGACTATTTTACAGTAGCGACGACTGAATTTTGGCTTGATGAAGAATGGCTTGTCATTTGTGCAATGTATAACTGAAATGGCATTCTTGTAATTGCAGGAGTCAGTTGTGTTGGGCAGAGCGGAGAGTCTGCCAATATGACAGAGTGCCTGCAATGGGCTGGTCCCTTGCCCCCTCAGATCAGAGAGTGTCGGGTGGCTTGCAAGGATGACTGCACTCTAACTGCATGGTCCAAGTTCTCTGAATGTGCTGGATGTGGCAGCTCTCGAATACGAAAGCGCTCACTTGCAGGTAAAGACTCGTTATTCACAGATTGTGAGACACATGCAATTTCAAGGCAACTGTTTAATCTTTGCTGGTAGAACAATTGGATTGTGTTCTCAGGTCAAGCATTCTCACATTGTTGTTTTATATTTTTATTGATATGACTGGTAGTCAATTTGGAAATAAATAAAAGCAGAGAGGATAAAAGCTTTTGTAATGTCTGAGCGTGTGGCAGTTTTCTTAAGTCAGAATATACCAGTTCAGACCTAATGCATATTAGTGAAAGATAAAAAAAAAACTTATGTTGTTTCACTTTTACATTAAATTACAAAATTAATGAACATTTTTCATGTCCTTCTGCATTTACTTCAAACTAATGAGTCTTGTTTATTTATTCATATTCTATTACTGCAGATGGTAAAAAAAATTCTTTTGTAAAATTTGAGTAGAACACTGCCAACTTTTGACCAACTTCTACAGCTTTTTATTGTTTTGTTTTTATTTTAACTAATTGTTAATTACAAAAATTATAGTTTAAAAGAGTAGAACAACTTTGAAATCTGAAACAAAAATGCAAACAAATGAACTGTGGCAAGATCTCAGCTTGTGTGGCAAATTTTCTGCCTTTAATATAAGTATGAATGATGTCCTGAAGTCTTTATTTGCTACAGGTGTGTTGTTTGTGCTTAAAATCTCATTACAACATTGACAGCAATCAAAATATATGTAACTTGCCAGTGTACACCTACACGCACACTATACTGCCAAAAACATTCCAAAAAACTCATCCATTCAAATTCAGATTTACCAATCACTTCCATGGCCACAGGTGTATAACATCCAATCATCTAGGCACACAGACTGCTTCTACAAACATTTGCAACAGCTGACATTTGCTCTCAGGAGCTCAGTGAATTCCAGTGTGGTACCATTACAGGATGCCACCTGTGGAACTGGAAAGTCCAGTTGTGCAATTTTCTCACTACTAATTATTCCACCATCCATTATTACTGTTATTATAACAAAGTGGAAGTGAATGGGAATGACAGCAACTCAGTTATGAAGTGATACACCAAGTAAAATCACAGAGTGGGGTTAAGAGATACTGATGTGTAGAGATGTCGCAAACCTTCTGCACAATGAGTCACTACAGACCTCCAAACTTCATGTGGCTATCATATTACCTCAAGAAACAGTCTGTAAAAAGCTTCATGTAATGACTTTCCATGGCAGAGCAGCTGCATCCAAGACTTACATCACCAAACACAATGCAAAGTGTAAAGCACGCCGACACTGGAATATAGAGCAGTAGACATGTGTTCTCTGGAGTGACAAATGCTTCTCCATCTGGCAATCCGATGGATGAGTCTGAGCTTGGTGGTTGCCAGGAGAACGGTACTTGTCTGACTTTATTGTGCCAGTTGCAAAGCTTGGTGGACGGGGTTGTTGGGCTGACCTTTTAGCTCCAGTGAAAGGAACTATTAATGCTTCAGCATATCAAGACATTTTGGACATTTTTATGCTCCCAACTTTATGTGAGCAGTTTGGGGATGGCCTCTTCCTGTTCCAACATTGCTGTGCGCCAGTGCACAAAGCGAGGTCCGTAAAGACATGGATGAATGAGTTTGGTGTGGAAGAATCTGACTGGCCTGCACAGAATCCTGACTTCCACACCTTTGAGATGTGGCCCTAAGAGACTGTCACCCAGGTTTTCTCATCCAACATCAGGGCTCACAAATGCACTTCTGGATGAATGGTCAAAAATTCCCATAAACACACTCCTAAACCTTGTGGAAAGCCTTCCGAGAAGAGTTGAAGCTGTTATAGCTGCAAAGGCTGGGCCGACATCAAATTAAACCCTATGGATTAATTTGATGTCAAATGTGTTAAGGCTGACTAGTGAGTACTTTTGGCAGTACAGTGTATTACTCAGTGACACTAAAATTTACTAAACAAATATAGCATTTTAAATGTATTCATGAAGAAATGTACAATACTGTAAAAACTCAAATGTGTTTTTCCAGCACTTTGTTACAGTGTGACTTCACACAGTTCCTGTAGTTTAATATCACGTCTAAATTTGATCCCTCACAGCTTGTAGTCTCTTATTTTAGTACAGATGGCAAAATCTGAATTACATGCTGTGGTTTCAGACCAGGCAGGATACTATTTGTCTACATTAATATTTTATCTGTTGCTGGAGGGGTTGCAGTAAACATGTCCTGTCTCCTTCTATATTGCTCTTATAATCCACCACATGAAATCAAGCTTAGCTCATGGGGAAGTGTGTTAGCATAATTGTCTGTTCATAGCAGTCAGAACATGTGAATATTTCAATTCACTTGTGTCTTTATCACTTTTTATCACCAAATTTATCTGGACATTTGATTGGAAATGATCCTACTTTCTTTACCAAGTGTAAGGATAAAGAAGTTTGTAAACTACAGCATACAGTCATTGCAGCCGGTGTTATCCTTTTTAACGTTGGTATTAGATTGGTCAGTCATCCAATAGTCAAGGTGTCTGTATGCCTATAGGTACCAGGGCAGAAGAATTTGGATGGTTTTCAGTTGTTGGGTCCGTCTGTTTGTGCGTCTCATCATGGCAAAATCTGATCTTTGAGACAGCTACTCTAGTGGGAAGAATTTTATGTCTGTTTGTCTGGATGACAGTGAAATAATTTTCTCAGAATGATTTCAGCATTTGAAGATATTTGACAGGATACAGGTGGATAAAGGACATTAAAATCAAGGTCCAATTTGGAAATGAGTACTAAGCAACCAGTGCTTTCAGTGTTCTCAGTGTTCTCTGTTCCCATCTAGTCAACTTTTTAAATTTTTAATGTATTTTTACTATTGTATTTTGATGTACCTTTATCTGGTGAAGCATATACCAGCCTCATATACCAGTGGCAAGCACTATACTTGTCTGTAAACTGAACAGAGGGATTGCACATGTAGAGCTCTGCACAAAGACTCAGTGAGTGGCAGGAGAGAGGGAGAAACCGGAAAATGTATTTTATGTACTTTACGCCATGAAGCACCAAACGGTTAACCACATATTGGTATCTATGATCTAGATCACCATAAACTATATTTAGTGGACTTAAGTAGACAAACATCATCAGAGAACTAAAATTCGTAAAATGTACCTTATCTTTATCCCTACATTTCTTTCTAGGTTTGCTTTTACAAGGTTTTAATATTGCATATTATTAAAAGTAAACTAATAAAATGCAGTAGCTACCTTAAGAACTGCAACATTTGTATTTAAACAAACAAACAAACATAGACAATCATGTTTGGGCGGCTTCAACTTAGGCCTGCCAGGACACTAGGCTTGTAATACACTGATGGAGATCCAAGTGACAAAAGGCAATGTAAAAACTAACCTCTAATCATTACAGGTTAAACAGGGTGGAAAACTTGCAAAAGTAAATATACATTCAATAGCCATTTTATTGATTTCTAATGTAAATATGCATTTAGGCACATTGACATTGTCAAAACGACCTGCTGAAGTTTAAACATCGCATTGGGGAATAAAGGTTATTGAAGTGACTTTGAATGTCGCATAGTTGCTGTTGCCACACGGGGTATTCTGACTATTTCAAAAACTGATGGTCTACTGGCATTTTACCACACAACCATCTCTGGATTGCAAAAAAGGAGATCATATCCAGTGAGTGGCAGTTCCCTTGCTATTGCAGAGATCAGAGGAGAATGACCAGACTGCTTTGGACTGACAGAAAGACAACAGCAAGCAGAAAATCATCTTTTAATGCACAACCTTCAAGCCTTGAAGGTGATGCACTACAGAAACAGAAGACGACACCAGGTCCCTTTCCTGTCAGCTGCAATAGTAAAATAAGACTACAATCTCATGGTATACTGTAGCTGACAAGTTTGCACAGTAGACGATTGGGCGCATGTTGCCTGGTCTAATGAGTTCTGCTGCAACATTTTATGGGTAGCATCAGAATTTGGCATAAGCAACATGAAAGTATGGGTCCATTCTGGCTTGTATAAACAGTTCAGGCTGGTGGTGTAATGTGTAAAGGTCTGGGGTATATTTTCCCAACATCCTTTGGGCCTCAGGTAACAACTGAGCATCATTTAAAAGCCACAGCCTACCTTGGTATTGTTGCTGACCATGTCCATCCCTTTAAGACCACTGTGTATCCATCCCTTAAAGACCGATGCCTCCTCTATAGGGATAACACTCCATGTCACAAAGCTCAAATCATCTCAAAGTGATTTTTTTAACATGGCAGTGAGTTTCCTGTACTCCACTGGCCTCCACATTCTCCAGATATCGATCTGACAGAGCATGTTTGGGATGTAATGGAATGGGAGATTCCCATCAGGGATATGCAGCTGACAAATCTAAAGCAACTGTGTGACACTGTCATTATGGACCCAAATCTCTGAGTAACATCTCCAGCATCTCGTTGAATCTGTGCCACATAGAACTAAGGTAGGTGTAAAGTCACAATGGGAGATCAAACCAGTAGTAGCAAGATCTATCTATGAATGAAGTGGCTGGTGGGTATAATTCTCTGTTTAGAATAAAAGCTGTTTGTAAAGCTCTGTATACATTATTTTTCATATTTTAGTTCGTACCATTCCACTTATGTTCACAAACAGGCTGTGCTTGAAAGGAGAAAGGCATAAAACGAACAGCCATACCCACTGTTTACTGTTCTGTCAGCTTCTGAACACTTACCCTGCCCTCTGTCTTATATACTAAAGGACACAAACATGTTGTTTTAAGTAGCAGATTTAATTTATTACACCTCTGACTTTATATATCACATGCTTCAAAAATAGCAATCCATTTCAATTAGATGGGAGTGTATATGACACTCCACATTGAGGCAGCATCGGCTCAGTTGTTAGAACTGTTACTTTAAAAACTGTCCATAGGGAGGCTGATGCCTCTCTGTGAGGAATTTGCATGTTCACCCAGTATAGGTTTCTTGCAGGTGCTGTAATTCCCAAACGTCTAAACACATGCTGAATAGGTGT